AAGGGAAAATGGAGGGAGAAATGGAGAGAAAGGAAGGGGAAATGGAGAATAGAGGAAAAAGAGAAAATAGGGAAAGAGGAAAATGGGAAATTAGAGGGAAATGGGAAAACGGGGAAATGAGGGGAGAATGGGGAAGAGATGAAGGAATGGGCTGAAAAATAATGGGGGAAAAAGCAAAATAAGAGAGAAAGTAGAATAGGAGAAAACAGAGGAAAGGTAGAAAAAAAGGCAAAAAAGTAGAAAAATGGGGAAAATAGAAAAAAAAAAGAGGGTGAAAGGCAGAAAAAATGGAGAAAAAGCCCAAATAGAAGGGAAAAACGGGGGGAAAAGTMGAAAATAAGGGAGAGCAGGGAGGGAGCGGGGGGCAGAGGGGAGGGGGCCGCGTGTGACGGGGCCCCCCCAGGCGCTGGCCGCGGAGCTGGGGACCCTCCTGGGCGGGGGGGGCGGCCGCAGCCCCCCCATCCACGTGAACGAGGTGACGGGGACCCTGCGGGTGTCGGGGCGGCACGAGGAGGCCGTGCGCGCCTGGCTGCTGCGCCAGGGCTTCTGAGAGCGCCGGGAACGCCGCCGGGAACGCCGCCGGGAACCGGCCCGCAACACCCCACAACGCCTGGAAATGCCCCGAAACGGGGCCGCTCTGCACCCTAGAATGCCAGGAAATGGCCTGGAACACCCCAAAATGCTCTGAACACCCCAAAACACCTGGAAATGCCCCAAAACGGGGCCGCTCCACACCCTGGAACGCCGGGAAACAGCTCAGAACGCCCCCAAACACCCCGGAATGCCCCAAAATGCCCCCAGACAGTGCCAGTCGTCCCCCCTCCCCCCCGGAATGCCCCAAAACAGCCCTAAACACCCCAAAATGCTTGGAAGTGCCCCAAAACGGGGCTGCAATACCAGGAAATGTCCCGGAATGCTGGGAAATGTCCTGGAATGCCGGCAAATGTCCCGGAATGCCGGGAAACGGCCCCAAAGCGGCGCAAACGGGAAGAAACCAACAATAAAAAGTGGAGAAAAAAACGGCGTGAAATGGACCCGAACGCGGCGTTCCGGACGGGAAGGGGGCGGGAGGCGCCGCTCGCTCCGGCCTCGCTCCGGCCTCGCTCCRGCCTCAGCTCTGCGCGTAGTAGTGGCCGTAGCCCCAGGGCGCCTGGTAGCCGTAGTAGTTCTGCTGCGGGCGAAACGGGGCGAAAAGCGGTGATTTTGGGGCCGCCGGGGGGGCCCGGGCGCCCCGGGGGGGGGCCGCTCACCTGGTACCAGTAGCTGTAGGCGTCGCTGCCCGCGGGGAGGCCGGCGAGGAGGCCGGCGGCCTCGTCCGGCCGCGGCCGCTTGTCGTCGGGCTCCTCGGCGCCGCTGCGGGAAGAGGGGCTGGGAAAAGCGGGAAAAGRGCGCGGGAAGCGGCCGGAGGAGGGCGAGAAGGGGGGCCYGGAAAGGGCCTCCCAAAAGGAGGCYGGAGTGCCCCGGAAGAGCCGAGAAACGAGCCAAAAAGGAGCCAAAATGGCTCGAAAGGAGACGAAGCAGCCCCAAAAGGAGCCAAAGACACGCCAAAGGGCCCCAAAATAGCCCCAAACTACCCAAAAAGGAGCCTAAAGGGCCCCAAAATGCCTCAAACCATCCCAAAAGGGCCCCCAAAAAGGAACTCCTGGAGAGGGAGGCCCCCAGATCCCCAAATATGGGGAAAAAACTCCCAAATAAAAGCCAAAACGGAAAAAAAAGAGGCCCCGTCCCGGCCAGAGGCCCAAACCTCCCCAAAAGAGGTGCAAACCTCCCAAATGGAGGCCACAAACACCCGAATGGAGGCCACAACCCCCCCCGATAGAGGCCGGCGCCGCGCGGAGGCCGCGGCCGCTCACCCGTTCTCGGGCGGCCTCTTGCGCGCCGCGCGCTGCTTGAGGAACTTCTGGTGCTCGTCGTAGGCCGTGAGGAGGCTGCGGGGCGGCCCCCGTCACCGGCGGCCTCCGCCCCCGCCGGCCTCCGTCCCGCTTCCCCGGCCGCACGCTCCGCTTCCCTACGGCTTTCCCCTCCGCTTCTCCCGCCGGCCTCCTCCCCTCCGCCTCCCCTTCCAGCCTCTCCCTCATTCCAGCCTCCCTATCTCCTCCCTCCGGCCTCTTCCACCTCCTTGCACCCGTTCCCTCCGGCCTCCCCGTCCTTTCCCTCCGGCCTCTTCCCCTTCCTCCGCTTCCTTCTCTCTGGCCTCCCCTTCTTCCCTCCGGCCTCCCCGTCTTTCCCATCCAGCCTCTTCCGCCTCCCTCCGGCCTCCCCCGGCTCCGGCCTCCCCTCCGCGCGGCCTCCCGCCTTGCCTGTGGATGCTGGAGCCGAAGTCCTCGAGGAACTCGACGCGCCGCTGCGAGAAGACGACCTTGGCCTCGTCGGGGAGGCCGCTGCGCAGCGCCCGCTCGAAGCAGCTCATGGCGTTGCCCTCGTTCTGCCGCACGTCGGCGCCGCACTCCATCTCCAGCAGGTTGGCGTAGAGCCGCGCGTTCTCCTGCCGCCGCCGCGGGGAGGCCCGGCCTCAGCGCCGGCGGCGAGGCCGCGGCGGCCTCCCGGGGGGGGTTGGGAGGAGGCCGAGGGCGGTCGGGGGRCCAGGGCCTCCGAAAGGGGCTCCCCAACCCTCTGACGGCCTCCCCAAGCCTCTTCCAGCCTCCCCAGAGCTCTACGGGCCTCCCCGAACCTCCTAGAGCCTCCCTGAACCTCCCCAAAGCTCCATGAGCCTCCGTGAGCCTCTACAAACCTCTTAAAGCCTCCCTGAAGCTCCGTGAGCCTCCCCAACCCTCCTGTAACCTCTCCAGAGCTCTGTGAGCACCCATGGGCCTCCCCGAAGCTCCGTGAGCCTCCGGAAACCTCCTAGAGCCTCCCCAAACCTCCCGGAGCCTCCACGAAGCTCTGCGAGCCTCTGTGAGCCTCCCCAAACCTCCTAGAGCCTCCGGAAACCTCCTAGAGCCTCTGCCAACCTCCTAGAGCCTCCCCAAACATCCCCAAAGCTCCCGTAGCCTCCGTGAAGCTCCATGAGCCTCCCCAAACCTCCCACAGCCTCCGCCAACCTCCTAGAGCCTCTGGAAACCTCCTAGAGCCTCCCCAGGGCTCCGTGAGCCTCCGCGCGGCCTCGGCGGCGCCGGGGGCCTCACCGGGTCGCGGTCGAGGGCCTCGACGAGCACCTTGCGCGCCTTGATGAGGTTCTTCTGCACCTTGAGCACCTGGCGCGCCAGCTTGACGGCGTAGAAGGAGGCGAGGGGCGGCGCGGGCGTGGAGGCCGCGGCCTCGCGCAGCAGGGCCTCC